ATATAAAATGAAATCTAATAAAACAAAATCATCATATATCTAAAATAACAAAGATAACATTTTTTTAGAAAAATAAAAAGATAAAAAATATGTTAGCATATGAAATAATCAACTAATCAAATTCTACATAGTATATATACATAACTGATCATATCATAAAATTTTAAAAATTATATAATTTTAAAATATAAATAAAATTTAAATAAATCAATAATTAAATATTTGTTTGCTAAAATCATGCGAATAAACATTCTAGATCACATAAATTTCTTATTTTCACATAAAAATATTCATATTCAAAAATCAATCTAGCAAGTATAGCACAAATGATATCTACAAAATTTATCATTAATTCAATTAGTTAATAATTTTTATTTGGTCAAACCGTTAGTTAATGATTATTCTAAACTTCTTTTTTTTCTTATTAATTTCACACAATCTTAACAAAATAAATCTTCATCAATTGGTAATTTGAATATCATTACTATTATCAAATATTAAATAATTTTTTTATCAAATCATAAACTACATTTTGAGATAATAAACATATAGAATTTCTATTAAGATTAAAACTAAATAACATGTGGATATATCACATTTAAATGATTTTAACGACTTATTACCAATTTTTAAATAATAAATGGATTATATTTTTAATGATTTAATCTAATTGAAAACAAATAAAATGTCAAATATGTATGATATATATGATATAATAAATAAATATCTACAAACATTATCTCACATATACATACAATTTTAAACTATCCTTGACAAATATGATATATAAGTTTTGGATAACCGGTTGAAAAAAAAAATTGGTAGTTATATTTAATTCTTAAAATCTCAAAATATTGAACAAAATTCAACTTTAGGACGTATAAATCTCTACTTTTGGACGATTATATGAAATTTTACATATATTAAAATTATATTTAGTTACATGTAAATGGTGTTTTTTTAAAAAAATATATATAAACTTATAGGAATGGATACGAGACAAGAGAATTTAATTTGAAACAAACATTATCTGAATTATTTCTTATAATAAAAACAAAACATGATTAGATATAATTCTTATGAGTCACGGTCATAAAGTTAAATTCACTTTCAACTTTCAAATATAAAACTACGAGTACGATACGGGGACATGTAATTTAAATTGCTAAATTTAATTTCCACTTTCCTATTTATTTCAAATATTTAGACATGAAATGACAGGTACAAGAAGATAACGTATACTTTGGATAACAAAACTACGATAAATCCATGTTTTAAAAAAATAGAAATACCTAAATCTTTAGAAAACAAAAAGGCTAAAACATGAATATTTGAATTGAAGAAAGTAATGAGAAATAAAGATGAAACTGAAAGATCAATAAAATTAAAAGTTGAACAAGGATTGTGTATGCTAGGATTACAGACAATGCCTTGTGAATGAAAATGGTGGGAGCATGTGACTTAGATTGATAATTAGATTTGTATTAGTTTGATAAAAATAAATATTTAAACGAGGAATACGGGTATCCCGTCTAAATGTTTTACCAAGTTTCTTATAATACACATTGGCAAATGATTATGTTTTAAAAAGAAACGATTATGGGACAGAAATTTTATGACAGATAGAAGACGGGACGGGACGGGGCGAGGTGGGACGGGACGGGGTGGGACGGGACGGGTCAGGACGAGACGGAAAGGGACAGGACAGGTTTTCCATTCTAAACTACACATAAAACAATTCAAACTAAAGTCAAACCCAAATCCGATTTAACATCTCTAAGCAAACAATTAGACATGTTTTGATTAGTTTAAAAAATAAACACGTAATATCACTTACCATTTTCATTTAAATATTTTTAAAATTGTAATTTTAAAATTTTATTATGTAATACAATATCTATATTTTACAACTGTATGTCTATATATAGTTTATCAAATAAACTCATATAACAAAATTTTACCAAAACAGCATCTACTTAAAAATCGTAATTTTGTAAAAATAACTCCGCACGTACGTGCGGGTCCATCACTAGTAAATCTTAAATGAAGTATCGTGAATTGGGATGTGTTAGATCAAATAGATTACCACAAAATTTCAAAGACTTTTGAATATATTTTTAACAAGTTAATAAAAACTTTTATTTATAATTTATATCTTGAAATCTATTGACGACAAGAGTCAAGATTAATATGTTTGAAGAATAGTCACATTCCAACCAAATCTAAGCTTTGAAGTGTGAGTATCATCCGCAAGATAGATCCCATCATCTCTAGCATCCCAAAAATATTTGACACCAAATCTCATAAAATATGGAGATTGCATGTATGCTGTAAATGTTCTTGAATATTTAAAACCAACCCCCTCATGTGTTAGCATACACACAAATTTCGTCCCACCAAAAAGTTCATCCCCAAACTTAAAATCATATATGTAAAAGTGATGCAATATGTGAATACCAAGATCGTCTTTTTCAGACTTGCAATGGACAGTAAGAAGATCAGAATTCTTGGTAAACGAGTTTTTGAAATACATTTGGTTTTTTGCAAAAAATAAGCCAGCATTGTTAGATCCAACACATAAAGAAATCACAAAGACCAAAGGAATTAGATGATTCATAATTTGGTAGAATATGAATATATGTTAAAAAATTTCACCTATGAAGAATTTTATGTGTGTATATATATTGGATTTCTAAATTAATGTACCTTCCTCATTTACTAGGATACCTTGAATAAATATAGAACTTAATTAAAAACAATCTTTGACTTTTTTTTATTTAGGTAACAATTTAGCTAAACTTCCCAAGTCCCCAACTATAGACATTAAAAGTTGTTACAACATAAATATATAACTTAAATCGAAAAAATATGTTTGACAAATTAACAAAATTAAAAAGTACCCAACTATGTTGAACTTTTGTTAAAACATTAAATTATGAAATATGTTGAACTTTTGTTATCCTTATTTCAAGATAATAAGGCCTTTTTCAGAACTCTTTTGTTCACCCCCTCTCGTTTTAGCTAATGAACTTCAAAGTAATTTAATTTAAAACTCTCATTACAGACAACTAGATGTGTATTCAAAAAATTATATATCTGAAATGAAGTTTTTGTGACTTGGGATACATCACAGATATTACTAAAAAATGTAAAAGACTTTTGCATATACATATACTTTTGACATACATATTTTTACTTATAATTATTCTTGTAATCTTGCCACCAAGAGCAAAACCATAAAATAACGAGTTTGTTTGTAAATGTTCTAGAATATCATCTCATCATCTTTAGCATACAATCAAATTGAGTCCCACCAATAGAGAAATTTTGAAAAATAGCCCTTTCGGTTTACCCCTTTTCAAAAATACATATGTTTAAATGTAAGAAATTATAATGTTTTATATGGTTTATAAGGTACTTATATATAATAATTACCACTTGGAGATTCGAGACAAAATATTTTATAATTTTTAAAAGGTTTTAAATCGTTTTTACATGTTTTATAAGGTTTTTAAAAGGGTTTATAAGGTTTATAAAATGTTTTTATAAGTTATTTTTACGCTATTTATGAAAGATATATAAAATTATATATATATATATATATATATAAAGGTAATTTGTGTGAATATTTATAATTTTACACACATATTTGGATAAATTTCATCATTTTTAGTGGTTTTTTTTATAAAGTTTGAAATGAAGAGTTTTATTAAAAAAGTGATATTTGAAAAGGAATATTTTTGAAATTTCCCCTTAAAAATAATAGTAGTAAGAACGTGTGAATACCAAAACCGTCTTTTTCATACCTACAATGAATAGTAAGATTACACTACAAGAAAACATATCGATTTTCGACCACCATTTCCAACCAAAATAATTGTCATGATTTTGCTAAACGAACTTCTGAAACACTATGCTAGTGTTGTTAGATCTAAAACATAAAGCAATTATAACGACAAAGAGATTATTCATAATTTGGTAGAATATATATATATTTCAAAAACAATTTCACCGAAGAAGCCTATTATGTGTGTATATATTGGATTTATAAATTAGTATACCTTCCTTATTTACTAGGAAAAATTAAGTAAATATAGAACTTAATTAAAAAAAAATCTTTCACTCTTTTTTTTTAGTAACAACTTAGCTAAATTTCATAGTCCCCAACTATTTACAAATGGAAATTATAAGTTGTTACAACATAAATATATAACTTAACTGACAAAAAATCTTTCACTATTGTTAATTAGGTAACAAATTAACTAAATTTCCAAGTAGCCAACTATATATCAAACTATATTTGGACCCGTAAGATGGACGGGTTATCTATGTTCAACAAAAAATTAATTTCAAACTTTATTACAAGAAAACAATATCCAAACTTTTTTTGAAGCAAATAGATTTTTTTATTGTCTGAAAAGACTAATGTACGCAACTTATTGAAGGGTCAGTAAAAAGTCACCACAAATGATATTTCCTTGTGTTTTGTTCTCACTTGTACAATTACGACAATCACTTCCACAAAGATTACCCATCCTAAAACCACTCCAGCATAAGCACGCTAGATTTTGGAGTTTTCTCGGGATCAGTTACCGAAAAGAAAAGTGTACTTTGGTGACATAAATGGTCAAATTAATTATTTTAAACCTCTTCGCAACCACTGAATCCAGAGTATTATAATTCACCCCTACTAACATAGGGAAAAGTCCTCGTTGCAGACCGAGACCATCACCCCTGACAATGTTACCCCACTTGACTCCACATTCATCAGGGTTCAGCTCTGATACCACTTGTACTGCCCCAACCGTCACTTTTTGTGGCCTCATGTTGTGAGACCCCAGTGTCACCAAAGTGCACTTATCTTTTCGGTGAATGGTTCTGAGAGAGTGCTTATGCTGGAGTAGTTAAAGGATGGGTGGCCTTCTGGGAAGTGGTTGTCGAAACTGTTTGAGTAGGGCCAAAATACAGGGAAAGATTGTGTGGTGATTTGTAGGGTTTGTAAACAAGTGTTTAAAATTAAGCCTCCCGGACGTAGCCAACCGATCGTCGGATATTGATGGGTTCATAAGCCTAGTGAAAGGACATGAGGCCCATTAAGAGAGGTGGGCCCATGGGCTGGTGATAAACTTGGGGCCCACTGGAGAGATGGCGGTCAGGGTGTTACACATGTCCACTCCCGACCCATGACCCCACCTTTTTTATAGGTCCCACTTCCATTTTTGGCACGTGGTATCTGACGGCCGGTTTGCTACATATATAAGATTTTAAAGACTTGTTTACCGGCCTTACAATTCATCACATGCATTTTTTGTGTATTCCCCTCACCGCACAGTTTTCAAATCACTTCCCTGTAAAGTCACTCATTATGAAATTACTTCAACATAAACACACTTAAGTGTAGAGTTCTCTAAGGACCTTTGACCATTTTTTCTACTTCTCATAAGATGGTAATTCTTCAATTGTTTACCCTCCTCTTCCAACATTGCTATTATGTGCATTACAAAAAGAAGCATTTGAGCTACAACTGAGGGGTGGTTTGAGCAAATGGTCCACTTTAGAGACATAAGTGACCAAATCAATTCTTACGAGCGCTAAAACTAGGGTATGAGGAGTGAAAATTTTGAATTCCTCGTTTATTTTCTTTGTTACATATAATTAATTTCAAAATAAACAACATTATTGAAGAAGTTTACTTGATATAAATATATAGAAAGAAGTTGTAATTACAATATTAACATAAACAATGTACTGTGAATTGAGATATGTCATATCACATAGATTGCAAACATAAGCCATTTTCATATAATTTCCAAAATCCAATATATATTCTCTTATTTTTAATATTTTGAAATCTATTGACATCAAAACTAAGATTTTACCAAGAATACATAAACTTTGTACCATGATCATCATTTGTGAGATAGATCCCATCAGGTCTAGCATCCCAAAGTGTTAGGGCACCAAATTTTATGTAAAAATAAGGATCTTCTTGATAAGCAGTAAAAGTAACCGAAGATTTAAAACCAATCCCATGCGATAGTGTGCAAACAAACTTAGTCTCACCAAAAAAGCTATCACCAAACTTAAACGAATATATGTCACCATAATGCACTAAGTGAACACCAAGATCATCTTTTTCAGACTTACAATGAACCGTGAGAACATCATCACTCCTACCAAGAGTGTTTAAGATATATACTTGATTTTTTGGAAAGATTCTACTAGCGTTGTTCGATCCAACACTCAAAGCAATTACAACGATTAAAACAAAGAATTTATTCATGATTTCAAATAATCTATTTTTTTTTTAGTTTTTGTTTCAGTTTGAAAAACTAATTCGCCCTTGAAATTTATATAAAAGAATTTTGAATTAATTTTCTTAGATATTTATTAGGAGATTAGGTAACAAATGTAATTCAAACATAACGTAAAAGTCTAAAAGGGATCTTTGACTAAATATTAATTTGGTAACTTTGTTAAAGAGAGTAAATGATTCGATTCCTTGATTTTTTTCCTTTTGTAAATGACAAATTTGACTTCATAGGTCTCTGTGTATAAATCAATTTCGATAAAAAACAATAATATAAAACAATGATATAATTAATAAACTAAATATTACTATATTCGTTGAAAATAAAATAAAATATTAGTAGTTGAAAATTAAATTCTAGGTCTTGACTGGTTGGTGCTTTATAAACTTTCCACAGCCATATTTTGGTCCAAAGTTATAAATTCACAGCAATCAAACTTTATAAATTTTGTATTTCCTTTGGATTCACAACCAAAATACTTCCTTAATTAATTAACTTAATTGATAAATAAATTTTGTGATAAAATAATAAATAGTTATATCTAGTCCTAAAAGACTTTTGTGATAAAAATAATAAATAGTCCATCTTGTATATAATAAATAATAAATAATAAATAATTTGTATATATCCTAAAAGACTTTTTTGATAAAAATAATAAATAGTTATATCTAGTCCATCTTGCATAATCAACGGTTAATTAGCTTAATTTTTCTTTTGGTCAACAGTTAATCAACTTAATATTATTCAGTAACAAACTATCAAATATTAATTTTTTTTGGTCAACAGATGATTTATAGACGTTATACTGTAACGAACTTAATATATTTTTACTGACATTCACGTTACGAAGATAACACATAAAAGTTTTCGAAAGAGTTTTAACTATGTACTTATAAAGTACTTTTGGAATAAGTCGAGGCTAAGCTCGGTGTATATTTCAGGATTGAGATTTCAAAATAATTAGTCCCATTCAGGCCGGTAAACAAGTCTTTAAAAAGCATGTGATGAATTGTAAGGCTGGTAAACTAATTTTAAGAATTGTCGGCAGTAGAATCGTCATTGTAACAATTCTCATAATTTGCAATAAATAATAAATCAAGAGTTAAAAAATAAAACTATTTTTTAAAATTATATAGTTTTTTAAATTTGATGATATAATAAATTCTGTTGTATATTTCATATTTTATGCTATGTAAAATTTGACTAGACGCTTATTTTATAATCTTTATTTCATAATCTAGCATATTTGTTTTTATTTTTATTTTTCCTAAAATATCATCTTTCTTTTTCTTAAATATATTATTATTTGTTATATTAAATTTTATTCAATAACTATTGTTATTGAAAAAATAATAGTATATATACAATTAAATTAAATATGTTTACATATTTTCAATTTTGAACTTAATTGTCCACTTTTTATGGTAATAATATCAGTTTAATTTCCATAAAGATGGACAATTTGTTTTTGGTTTTTTTTTAAATTCTGTTTTGCTGTCTTTTAGTTTGTTTGGCAACTGGTTTGGAATTACATAAAACTTTATATTTTTTTTTCAAGTCTGTTTTTCAAGCTAATCATATATATAAAAGTAAGGTTTCACTCTCTCCTTATTGGTGAAAAAACATTTAAGCCCTTCATTTAATATATATATATATATATAAGTAAATGTTAATGACAATCATTTGATACAAAATTTAATTACACCATAAGTTATAAATTAATGGCAAAGAAAACTAAGGTTTCACTCTCTCTTTATTGCTCCATTTGATATTTAATTTTTTAAATATTTATTTACCAAAAAACACATTGAATCATATACTTTAATTCATACTTTGAATCCACACTTTACTACTAAAATGTAACTGAAAATTATATAAATTTTCAAAGACTATTGATTTTCTTTATTGAATTTCAATTAAACACACTATAAATTAAGATAATGACTCCTCTAGTTTAATTAATTGAAAAATGTAACTTACATCACTTCTTATCTTATAAATAGCCATTCTCACATCCTCCTCTACCATATCTCATATCTTCATTATTTTCTTTGTTTTTAAAAAAAAGTTATTGCATGGGGTGAAAATTCAATTATGATGTCATTATAAGAGTTTTATTAAATATTTAATTTAAACTTTTGCTTTCAATTTTATTTATTTTTTGTTTATATATATTTTTCATTTCTTCATTGTTTTTTAATATATTTTTAAATGTAATACATATGTATAATAATATTTTATGGTTATAAGAAAATCATTTTATTGATGGGATTCAACAATATTGAATTCCGACCATTGAACAATATGAAAATCAAGCTAAAGAAACCATCTTCATTCTTGCTTTTACTTTGGATGTTTGTTTCTTTCTCACATATTCATGTATATTTATTTTAATTTCAAAAGTATGTAATTTGTTAACAAAATAAATTTTTGTTATATAATTATCAAACCAATTTGTAAGAAATTATTTTAAGAATAATGATCCTTATATTAGTTTTTGATTCAACATTTAATAATATAAAGAACATTATAATTTTTGTTAACTTTGACTTTTATACTTGATTTCCTATCTAGAAAACAATTTGCTATTCAATTTTCTATCTATTATATATACTAAAAGGATGAAAAGTATAATTAAACCTAGAGATATAACTTAAATTAAGAGGAATATAAAAAGAGTTTAAAAAATAAGATTATTTTGGGAATTTTTAAGGTTTCACTCTCTCCTTATTGGTCCATTTAGCATTTATTTTTTAATTATAAGATTTATTTCTAATTAAACCAAATATCTAACACATTTAATTCATACTTGAAATCCACACTTGAATACTAAATTGTAACTGAAATTAAATAACTTGTGAATTGACTATTTGTTTCCTCCATTCAATTTCAAATAACACATTATAAATTATAATTATAACTCCTCTAATTTAATTATTTTAGAAATATAAATTACATCATATTTTATCCTATAAATACCCATTCTTACATCCTCCTCCACCATATTTGATACCCTCAATATTTTCTTTGTTTTATTTTTAATGTTCTTGCATGGGTTGAAAGATTAATTAAGATATCATTGAAAGAGCTTGATTATATATTTGGTTTAAAATTTTGTTTTCAATTCTATTTTTTCTTTGTTTTATGTACTTCTTCATTTCTTTATTGTTATCTTATATTGTTAAATGTACACAAACAAAGGTAATGTGTATGTATATTTATAAGCTTACACACATATTTGGATAAATTTCAAAATTTTTAGTGATTTTTTTGATAAATTTAAAAAGTAGTATTTGAAAAAAGTATTTTTAAAATTCTCTCAATATCATTTCTATTCTTATCATTAACAATATTATTTTTTTTTATCAAAAATACTCAAAAGTACTGAAGAAAATTACTATCAAAATTAAATAATTAATCAACGAATAAATTCAAGAGATATGAATGAATTCTATTGTATGATTTAAATATCATAAGTATTGAAATTTATTTGTTCTATTTTTTATAAATATATTAATTAACTTAATATACAACATCCCGCGCATATATTACCTAGTAATATATATACTGTACTTATAAAGTTTGTAGATCCTTATTCTCTAGAGAACTTTTGAGAAATACCCCTTTTGGTGTACCCTTTTTTAAAAATACCCCATTTATCTATCAATTTTCAAAAATACCCCTTTTTAAATATAAAAAAATTATAAAATTTTTATGTAGTTTATAAGGTACTTCTATATAATAACTACTACTGGGAGATTCGATACAAATATTTTAAAATGTTTTAAATAGTCTTAAATCGTTTTTATAAGTTTTATAAGGTTTTTAAAAGGTTTTTATAATTTATTTTTACGCTATTTATGAAAGGTATATAAAGTTTTATACACATATAAAGGTAATTTGTGTATATATTTATAAGTTTACACACATATTTGGATAAATTTCAACATTTTTAGTGAGATTTTTTATAAAGTTTGAAAATGGGCTATTTTTAAAAAGAGGTATATGAAAAGGGGCTATTCACTATGCCGTTGTAAGTCTGGATTTTGTTAGCTTCCTAACTATACATGCTTGAAAATCACACGACGTTCTATTTATAATTTTAATCAAACATACAATATATGGTACTATTATTTGTTTGGTTGTATTAATTCATTATTTTCCATTATATACGTAATTGTGTATGGGTGCGTTTTCACTATGTTTTCAAGATACCATACAAAGACTGACGACTCTGACCAAACAATGGCAAAAACAAACACACAGTTTAATCGTTACAGTCAAACAAATTTTAATGATGCAATCAACCAAACAAATTTTAATGATGCAATCAACCAAAAAAGTTTTAAGATTTTGCCAATCCAATCTTAATGATGCAAAAAACACAGAAAAAAAGAAATGTAACAACAAACAATTGACCAATAGTTTTTTTCTGTACAGATCTTCTGACCTGAACCATTAACTTCAAATATGAACCATAGGCCTCTTTAATTTCGCTTGGTGTTATCTATCTGTTTGAAAATTAGCTAAGCTTTGTTTTTGGTTACCAAGCTACTAGAATCGGATCCGCAATACAGCGCAAGGAAATATTTTAACAGATTAGAATATGTTATAATTTTATTTTATTGCAGTGCAATCGATTGCAGTGAGTCATATATTTTGTGTAATAAGTTATTATAAAATAGTCAAAAAACGAGTAAATGGTAACATAATAATTTTGATACAACAGAAGAAAAAAACACAGAGAATTTTTTTAACAACGCGAAAGAATATTTATCGATAAATTATTCAGTTTGACCTTTTTGTAATAGAAAGAAGAATATACGTAAAAATTATTAAAGATTTGCAGTCATAAAAATTACATACTCACAATCTATGTTTTGAAAGAGCAACCTTAAACGGATTGCATTCATAAAAATATTATTCATTACTCGCTCTACCATATAATTGTGACTTTAACAAAATGACTCGTGAATTACCTGTGATTTACATAGTTTGA